TTTCTTTTTTGACGTTCGCAACGCCAAAAGGGAAAAATCTTGACCCGACGATAGAGACGGTGATGTTGGAGATGAAGATGAAGATGAAGGAGAGAGAGAAAGGAGAAAGAGAAAGGATGAAGCTGGAGATGCAGGAAAGGCGAGAGGGTCATGGTCTGGCCTGGGGTGGTGGGCGGCCGGGGCAGTGAAGATGGCCACGCGAAGGCCAGGACGACGGCGATGATGATGATGAAGGTGATGATAAAAAAGAAGAAGAAGAAGAAGATATTACAGAGACGAGACGAGGAGAAGAGATGATGGATAAGAAGAGAGATGTGAGAGACTTGGACTATGGGATACAGACATGGCTGGTCCATCCTACGGCTGTCCGCTGCCTCCTGGCCACCAAGAGGTAAGTCGACAATGAGGACGAGAGACGGAGGAGAAGAAGAAGAGAAGAAAGAAGATACTTGGTACATGAGAGACGGCCATGATAGAGGAGAGACATCAAGTGGGATCCTCTGGCTCAGCTACAACATGCAGACAGCAGGCGATTATAAGACCTCCATACAATTACTATCCCCAAGATCCATCAGTTGGACTGTACGGACAACTACTAGATGGTGAAGATGGTGAATGCAGGTTGCGGTTGCGGCTTTGCTACAGCAAACAGCATCAACCTAGGATACAGACGACTAGGCAACAGGCATACACATCACAGGAGATGTTGGTAGAGACTACGGAGTACAGCCATTGAGCGTGGACTCGACTTATAAAAGAGATACAAACCATGGTCAAAAGAAAGGAGAAGACGACCTCCTTATTCTCCTGAGTCCTCTCCCTGAGTTTCTCCCTGAGTTCTCCCTGAGTCTTAGTCTTCTCCTGGTTGCTCTGTTGCTCCTCTAGTTGTCACTAATCGACCAAGAAGATAAAAATAGGCCAACCATCGACCACAGAAATAAGCAAAGAGAGCAAAAAAGCGCCTGTCCCTGGAGATCGTTAAATATAGATCTCTCACTTTCTCACTTTCTCACTTTCCCTTTGCCCTATGCCCTCTGGTTTTTCTGGTTTTCCTGCTAGACGGACGCCTTGGCTGATGGCGGGCACTCCACTGTGGTGAGACATGGAGGAAGACGGGCAGCAAGCGGGCGAAGGAGAGAGACGAGACGAGACGAGACGGGCGAGGAAGGGAAGAGAAAGTAGAAGCAGGACGGGGGGAAACGGAGAATCTAGTCAGGCATGGTCAGCTCATGGGGTCTGCTGGCGATGCCTGTCTGCCCATCTGTCTGTCCATCGTCTCCATCGGCTGTCTATCAAGGCCGGCTGTCTGCAGGCTGTATGTAAGTCTATCAATCGACCCCATCGCCATCCATGTCCTTGTCGGGTCCCCCCCTGGGGCGCCCATCCTGGGCCCGGTCGATAAGGATGTCTTAGAAGCCGAAGCAGAAGAAGCAGTTGGCTAGTTAGCTCGATGGATCCAGCACAGCCTCCTCAGCGCTCGAGAGGTGGAAAGCAGATAAGCAGAAGAAGAAGAAGCAGAAGAAGAAGCAAGTTCGCAAGTAGAAAGTAGATAAAAGGAGCTTCTCCATCTCGTCGTCTTCACTTCGTCGTCTCCATCTCCATCTCCATCTTCATCTTTATCATCTTCTTCTTATATATTTTATATCTTCTTCTTCTTCTCTTTTTGGCTGCTTCACTTTCTGCCCCTCCAAGCGCCGTCACCGCCCTCGCCCGCCTCGCCAACTTCGACTTTTCGACTTTCAACTTCATCTTTCAACTTCAACAACGACAACGACAGCAACATCGACAGCAAACTACAACTACAGCAGCTTCAATAGAGATAGAGAGAGAGAGACCGTCTGTTGCTTGTCTCCAGCTTCTACTTCTTCTACTTCTTCTCTGCAATTGACGTCGCTCGCTCATCACCATGTGGTAGGTCCCGCTCCTACAGCTTCTCTCCCACTCTGGGACTCTGGGACCACCAGCTAACGCCCTCGCTCGACAGTGGAATCTTCGGTTATATCAACTATCTGGTCGAGAAGGACCGTGGATACATCATCCAGACCATCATCAATGGTGAGTCGTGAAGTCTTGAGTCTTGATCCTCCAAACGATGCGGCGGGATTGTTGCTTTGGGGCCTTACTAACAGGAACAGGCCTCTCTAGACTAGAGTACCGTGGCTACGACTCGGCCGGCATAGCAGTCGACGGCGACAAGAAGAACGAGGTCTTCGCCTTCAAGGAGGTCGGCAAGGTGGCCAAGCTCAAGGAGCTCATCGATGCCTCCAAGCCTGACCTCTCCAAGACATTTGAGTCTCACGTCGGAATCGCCCACACCAGATGGGCCACCCACGGCTCCCCTTCCAAGCTCAACTGCCACCCCCATAGGTAGGTCATTATCTACTGTATACAACAGGAAGAGAAGAATGAGAAGCTGACTGGAACAGGTCTGACCCCAACTGGGAGTTCTCCATCGTGCACAATGGAATCATCACCAACTACAAGGAACTCAAGGCCCTGCTCGAGTCCAAGGGCTTCCGCTTCGAGACCGAGACCGACACCGAGTGCATTGCCAAACTCGCAAAGTACCTCTATGACCTGCACCCAGACATCGACTTCACCGTCCTGGCCAAGGCCGTCGTCAAGGAGCTCGAGGGCGCCTTTGGCCTGCTCATGAAGTCCGTCCACTACCCACACGAGGTCATTGCGGCCCGCAAGGGTTCCCCCTTGGTCATCGGTGTCCGTACCGAGAAGAAGATGAAGGTCGACTTTGTCGATGTCGAGTACTCCGAAGAGGGCACTGCTCTGCCTGCTGAGGCTGCCTCGCAGAATGCTGCCCTCAAGAAGTCGGCCACCAGCCTGCTTGCCCCGCCAGACAAGAGCCTGCTTCACCGCTCCCAGTCCCGGGCCTTCCTGTCAGACGACGGTGTGCCCCAGCCAGCAGAGTTCTTCCTCTCCTCTGACCCTTCGGCCATTGTAGAGCACACCAAGAAGGTCCTCTACCTCGAGGACGACGACATTGCTCACATCCACGAGGGCCAGCTCAACATCCACCGTCTCAACAAGAACGATGGCACCTCCAACGTCCGTGCCATCCAGACCATCGAGCTCGAGCTCCAGGAGATCATGAAGGGCAAGTTCGACCACTTCATGCAAAAGGAGATCTTCGAGCAGCCCGAGTCCGTCGTCAACACCATGCGTGGACGTCTCGATGCCGAGAACTGCAAAGTCACCCTCGGTGGCCTGCGTCAGTACATCTCCACCATCCGCCGCTGCCGTCGTATCATCTTCATTGCCTGCGGAACTTCTTACCACTCCTGCATGGCCGTCCGCGGTGTCTTCGAGGAGCTGACCGAGATCCCCATCTCCGTCGAGCTGGCCTCTGACTTCCTCGACCGCGAGGCCCCCGTCTTCCGTGACGACACCTGCGTCTTCGTCTCCCAGTCCGGTGAGACCGCTGACTCGCTCAATGCCCTCCGCTACTGTCTCGAGCGCGGTGCCTTGACCGTCGGCTTCGTCAACGTCGTCGGCTCTTCCATCTCCCTGCTCACCCACTGCGGTGTCCACATCAACGCCGGCCCGGAGATCGGTGTCGCCTCCACCAAGGCCTACACCTCTCAATTCGTCGCCATGGTCATGTTCGCCCTCTCCCTCAGCGAAGACCGTGCCTCCAAGAGACAGCGCCGCGAGGAGATCATCAAGGGTCTTGGCCTTGTCTCCGACCAGTTCCGCGAGATCCTCAAGCTGAGCGAGCCCATCAAGGAGATGTGTGCCAAATTCTTCAAGAACCAAAAGTCCCTCCTCCTCCTTGGCCGTGGAAGCCAGCACGCTACCGCTCTCGAGGGTGCCCTCAAGATCAAGGAAATCTCCTACCTGCACTGCGAAGCCGTCATGTCCGGCGAGCTCAAGCACGGTGTTCTCGCCCTCGTCGACGAGAACCTGCCAATCATCATGATCTTGACCAGAGACAACCTCTTCGCCAAGTCTCTCAACGCCTACCAGCAGGTCATTGCTCGTGCCGGTCGCCCTATCGTCATCTGCAACCCTGACGACGAGGAATTCCCTGCCTCCGAGACAGAACGCATCGAGATCCCCCGCACCGTCGACTGTCTTCAGGGTCTGCTCAACGTTATCCCTCTGCAGCTCATCGCCTACTGGCTTGCTGTCGGCGAGGGTCTCAACGTTGACTTCCCACGTAACTTGGCCAAGTCAGTTACCGTTGAGTAAACGGACTAGTCTGCCTTGAACCAAAACCAACACAAAATCAAGTTTTGCCTTCTTTCCCCCCTTTACCATTAAAGGAAAAAAGGAAACAACTTCGGCTCGATATAGATCTGAACAATATTCATCTGGGTTTTTTTTCTAACTATATGGAGGATTAAAAAAGAAAACAAGAAAAAAGGACAACCAAAAAACATTCCTAAGCAGGGTTCTCTCTATCAGAATAACAAAAAATCAATCCCAATTCCTTCCCCTCCTCCCCCCCTTTTTCCCGGCCCCTCCAATTCCTATCTCCCTCCGAATTACCCCTCCCCTAACAACATATCCTCCCCTCCCGCGCTTCCCTTTTTTCACTCCGTTTTCATTTGTTACGAGGTTCAGCTTTTCCTTGCCATTTTCCTCCCTTTTGCGGTCCTTTCTGCTTCCACTCTATATGTTGTAATGCGACTCTGCATGCTTGCGTGCTATCTGTCTATCTGGCCTCGGCGATATCTTACCCTGCGTAGCTACCTACATAAATAAGATCCTTACATCCCTTCATCCATTCGTCCTTGTCATGCAAGTAATTATGGACTCTATAAAGGCCTCTTTCTATAGCAACAAAAAAAACCCCATCAGGGCAGCTTTGACCACGCGGGGCTTATCTCAGATAGCCGGCTTAGTAAGCTGAGCTACCCTTACTAATACTCCCTAGCGCATCTCGATATAAACAGCAAACAATATCCAGCTTTCTACCCGCCTAAACCGCCGTCTCTGCATAATATTCCCTATTTTGACACCGTGTATGGAGTACTCCCTCGAGATGTCCGTCTCCGAAGAATTCCGCAATATCCTGACTCGTACGCCTGCATACGCAAGCCTGACATATTCCATTCAGCCGTCCCGTAGGCCTCTGCCTTGGGCCCTAACTGCGTTAGAAGCATCACGTGGGCCAACTAGACAAGCTCCAAGGGCGTTCTCGACCAGCCTCGGGATCAACATCCTCACTTCCGCACATCGACCTTGGGCGGCCGCGAGTCTACATATAAAGCATCGAGCAAGCTGCCTCCGACACACAAGTCACACAAGTACACCACTGCCTAGACATCCACATACCTCTCACAAGACTCAGCACCAAGATACATTGCATCACTCACAATGTCTACCATCAAAGGACCAGGCGTAGGGCCGAAACTCGATGGTACGCTGAGCTGCCCTTATCTAACTATAGCACACGCTCTCGCTGTCCCCACCAACCCTCGCACAACGCAACGCCATGCTAACAACGACGACATATTAGGCTCGAATTTGCGCATAGCCATTGTCCACGCACGCTGGAACTGGACGATAATCGAGGCTTTGCTTGCGGGCGCCAAAAAGAGCATTCTAGCAGCTGGTGTCAAGGAGGAAAATCTCGTTGTCCAGTGTGTCCCGGGGAGCTACGAGTTGCCCTTTGCCATCAAGAAGTGAGCTCGCTTCACTATCCCATAGCTCAGCTCAGCTTGGCTAGGCGGGATGGATGTCGTGCTAATAGGGCTCTTTTCTGTAGTATCTACGAAGCCTCCCAGGCACAATCTACTTCCAACACCGGCAAACCATTTGATGCCATTGTTGCAATTGGCGTGCTGATCAAGGGCGAGACAATGCATTTCGAGTATATTGCTGACGCTGTTAGTCATGGACTGATGCGTTTGCAGCTTGATATGGGTGTGCCGGTGATCTTTGGGGTGTTGACTGTTCTCAACGACGAGCAGGGTCTGGCTCGTGCGGGACTGTGTGGAGGTGAGAAGTCACATAACCATGGAGAGGACTGGGGTACTGCGGCGATTGAGATGGGCCTTAAGAGGAAGGGTGGGTTGAATGGTCAGATATTGTAGGTAGGTAGAGTTGGCATGATAGGTCAAAGAGATAGATAGAGATGTGTTTTGAAGGCTTGTATTTTTGGGGGGCTGCGGCTCGGATCAAGAAGAGTTCGGATAATGCCTTGCCTAGTTATCTATCTATATGCGATGACGCTTTATTCCTCCATCTTATCGTCGTCTTCATCATCGTCGTCCTCATCATCGTCCTCATCCTCATCATCCTCTTCTTCGGTCATGGCTTTCTTAGCCAACCGCTCCGCTTCCTCGAGTAGCTCTTTGGGGACCTGCTCGTGTCTTCCCTTGGTAGGACCATCAAGAGAGCTGACCCAGGTCATTTCCAGCTCGAATTCTTTATCCTTGCTGTCCTCGTGCGAGATGTAGATGATTCTCGCCGCCTCTTTGACTCCATCCACCAGACTCAGCTTGCCAGCGGGGAGATCTAGTTTCTCCAGCTCGGCCTTCGCGGCTTGTCGCCCTTTGCCTGTCGCAGCGCCATAGTAGCCCTATCACTCCAGCAGTTAATACACAAGGTCTTCCAAAAGCTGACAGATAGATAAGAAGATAAGAAGGCGACGTACCCAGTAAGCACCGCTGGGCTCGATCATGAACAAGCCAGGACCACCGGCCTTGGCTCCCTTGACCTTACCGCCTGAACCGCACTCAGGGCCAGACCCAACCTGGCCGTCTACAGGTAGCTCGGCCTCTGAATCCCATCCTCCAACTATAGCAGAGATGCCGAATGGCCGAACGGAAGAGTACAAGGTATATGCCTGGACGTATCCTCCTAACCGGCTGGCCAGAACGTCCGTGGGAATCGGTCCCTTATATGTACTTCTCCACGAAGAGGCTTCGTCACGAGCTCTGGAAACAAAGTGTCGTCCGTCGGGGATCAGGCCAGAGGAGACCTAGAACAAATTAGTAACATGCTCTCTTATCTTCTGGTCCCTTAGGAGCAGAGCAGGCGAAAGACGTACTATTCCAATGTTCCTGTCGACGGTAGCTATTCTCTTGTTGGCGCCGGCCTTGAGTAATTTGCTGCTGATAAGCTTCTCTACGGCCAGAACAACACCATCCTTGCACCGTATGCCGATGGATGTGCCGCCATTCTCAACTGCTTTTACCGCGTATTCTACCTGTGTGACGGGTTAGCTGGGGGGGATATGTTCCAGCCAAGCGTAGAGTGAGGTGAAGGGCGAGAGCAGCGCACTTGAAAGTTACGTCCGTCTGGAGAGAAAACGGAGTTCGACAGATCGTATCCTGTTCCTATGGAGGTCTGTAGTAGTTAGCACAACAGTCCGGATGTCTGTTATGTGTACCTCCCTAGTCGTCAATTGCTGTATCAACATACCATCTTGATGTTGTTGTGTCGGAGTCGTCAGTCAATGAGAGTGGCAAGGTATGTCAACGGTGAAATCAGGCTGTTGGCAGTATGGATCGGCACTCCTCGTCCTTCTCATCCGGCGGTTCTCTTCTGTTCTCCTCGTCTTTGCTCTGTTATCTTCGTCGTCCGCCTGCGTTCTTGTTTGGCGTTTTTGGTTCCTTTTGGAGCTTCGAGCTGGCTGCGTCACGGGACTGCTGCCTTCATGACTAATCGATGACTAATCTTAACTATCAACTCCTTGTTTTTCTTTTTATTGTTATTATTTTGGTTGAACTTCAAACAAGAAGTCGAGCAGACGAAGGAGACGAAAAGGAAGAGAAGAAGAGAAGAGCCGGCGATAACTGTTGAGCCTATGGGACCCCTGCCTCGGTAATAGCTAGGACATGACATGGACTGACCTGCAGGGCCTTTTTTTTGTTGCTCTTCTTCGCTCGTTTCTGCCTGACATGCCTGTTTAGCCGCCACTTAACCTGCCGGTTGGGCATCGATCGCCTATCAACTCGCTGACTCGCAGACAGGAAATAAAGGACCTCAACCCCGAAGACTCGTTCTTCCTCTCTACCAGACACATCGTGAACTCCTTGAGCTTCCGAAGCTGATACTTCCCGGCCTTTTTTACTCTCCTTGAACGCTTATCAACCTTACCCCCTTTTTTTACCGGGCTACTCCATACTCCACAACCCTGCCCCGCCGTCGCTATATCTTGTTTTCCACTGCTTTTGCCCTCTAAAGAGCAAAACAACACCCGTTCTCTGCCTTTAGAAGTGCTGATCGGTCAGAGAAACAGATTTCTTCGGTCACGTAGGGCGGACTGTTCGTCACTATTCCCACCTGCTCCCGCGTTGGGCATCACCGGACCCGTGTCAAATCATCCCTCCCCCCGCCATAATCGTCATTTTCCAGTACTTCAAGATCAAGATCTTTGGGAGAACCCGAAATAGACAACTTCTTTCCCCTTCTTTCGAAATTTTGTTGTGCTTCCCTCAGCTAGCTAGAACATATATAGGAACAAGAAAAGGAGTTGTTTATTGCCCGAAGTTCTCTCTGAAAAGCAAATCCAAAAGACTATCATCAAATCCTAACATACCAACCAACAAATCAAACAAGCCCAGGCAACGACAAGAAAAGACAGGATACACCTATCTACCTCACTCTCACCTTGAGCCAAGATGGTTTCTGCTCTTCACCGATGTCCGTACTGCTCGTACGAGACTGATTTGTCAGGCGCCCTTCCGGCCTTCACAGAGAACCCTCACTGCCAGAGAGTAAGGAGTTCCTACAGCGCAAGCATATTTTTTATTAGGATATTATTCTAACAGCCTCAATAGTGTGGATTGTCTGCAGCTGAGGGTGACATGAAGATGGACAATGATCTTGCTGCTCTCTTTGCTAGCAAGATGGCTGTGAGCAATGGACCAGCACAGCCACCTTCAGGCAATGTAGCCCCTCCTCAAGCACCCTCTCACACATCTACCGACACCGATATCGATGCCATGCAGCAGGAACACTCTAACACTCCCAACCCTGTTGTCTCTGCCCATGGATTCTCCACGGAGGATACACTCAGAAGCTACAACATTGACCCAAGCTCTCTATACCCATCCCAAATTGACTTGTTCAGACAAGCGGCTCCAGAGCAGAAATTCCGCCTCATTGAGCTATGGCGCATATCCCCGGGTTCAGCCATGCCAAACATCCTTCCAAGCCAAGGAGCCCACATTGTTCAAACAAACTTTCTTTCAAACCTCAACAACACCCAGGAGAAGTCTCAACCATACAGCGGTGACGACATGATGATGGATGATGATAAGATTAATGCTGAACCATACGTTCTCTCGGGTTATGAACGACTCGCTCAGCAGGAATATGAGAGCCAGAGCGCACCAGCCTCGACATCTCCCCTATCAACCCATACCTACAACCAAGCCACTGACCCAGTTTACAAGGGAAGCGAATGGCAACAGGAGCAACAACAGCGTGCTATGGAAAATCAATATGGCGAACTCCAGATGAAGAAATACTACTTTGGATGTGGGATTTCGAGAGCTCACTGGCTGGAGGACGAGCAGATGCTATAGAATCGGATGCACAAGAATCGGTGGCTATGATATTGCTTCCTACTTTCACGACTTCTTAGTCGCGCTTAGTTTGAGAGATACTATTGGGATTTTTGAGCCAGCACTCTATCTTGATTTCCTATTTCCCTCTTTTTTCTTATGATTTGTCTATGTGAACCCCTGGAGACGACTACTTGCATGAACATTATACACAGACTTTGTTGGCCCTCGATTACCAGTTAGATTATTGTTAGTCCTGTTTTGCTCTCAATACCCATCTCTACTACTTTGCACAAAGTTCATGCATCATCTTTCTGTATTGACTTCTATTCTCCCAATATAATATATCTATGTAATCTAAGGGTACTATTTCGGCTTGATACTAGCAATATTGTATATATAGGTGCATAGAGCTACAGAAGATATATACGAACTCTTAAAATCAGTTAAAACATGTATTACAGTAGAATTGGTTGTAACCGAAAGGTTAGCTGGGTTTTGACTGGTGTTAAGCATCCCTAACTTTTGAAGATGTAGTTTTTGATATAAAATAATTAAAAATACATTAAAAATAAATATCTTAATAGCTAGAAGACTTTCCCATATTATGGCACTTGTGGTTGATATTCAACTATTTCGCAAACAAGCTTATAAGCTAGGTCCGAAGTTATATTACAGGTCTATTGTTCGTATGATTGAGATTATTACGAACCCAAAGACGCCCATAAAAATAATAATCAAAATTGTGAAAACTACGGGCTTTTTAGTTTATTAAATTCTGGGGTTAGCAGTTTGAGCAGAGCTTTTATAGGAAATGGAGCACCTACATCTGTTATACCCGCTTCAAGAAACCTCTCGATCCACGCCATCTGCATTAGTGTTAGCAGGGTGTAGTTCACTTCTTTATAAAAAACATGTTATATACCTTATCCCACCTCTCTTGTCTCTTCACAATTGCTTTCTGCATTCTATGTTAGCAGCGGTGCAGTTCACTGCTCTATAAAATATGCGTCATACCTCCTGTTCCTCCAACTCCGCTATTGCCTTCTTCATTGAGCGTCAGCAGGGTGTAGTCCACTTCTTTCCACAATATGCTACGTACCGTGTTTTCCTCAGCCCTCTGAGATCCATCTATTCTGTTCTGATTTCAAAGTTAGTGGTTGCAAAGTCTCAGGGAGCTGTATACCTTACACACCTTTTCTTTCGATAGATCTGACCATAAAGATAAAGCAATGGAAAGGGTAGCGCCGGTTTTATGTGCTGAATCTTTGATAAAGAAGCGCTCAATATCATCGACATTGGCGCAGTAAAGTGCCTCCCCAAAGCCCTCGAAAGAAATAGGCATCTCTTGAATTGTAGGATGGTCTACCGGGAGTTGTTTCAAAGCTGCAACCCATGATCTCAGAAAAGCTCTTACTTCCTCTGGCATTGCATTAGGGCACGGGCATGGCGGAAAGCCTGCGTTTTTCCTGTTAAGCTGAGTAGAAAGTCAGTTTACCGAGAAATCGTTGTAATATTCTCTCTTGTGTAGAAAAGCTCACCTTGTTTAAAGTCATTTTTCACTAATGATGGGTATAAGATAAAAGAGGGCTATAGCTTCAAACATTGAAGGTATCGATGTATACAGTTTTCTTGCATCTGGACAGAGGTGTTTTTGCCATACTTAGAAGCTTCAGCTTCTATAACAACCATGACGTCATGAGATGTTAACAATGGCGCTTATTTAAGTTTGTCGCGTTTAATAACGGTCGAGATGTCTTCGGCTTAGCGGCTTAGCGGCTAATATTACCGACTATTGGTTTGGGTTAAGCGCCATTCAAGTGCCTACGATTTTCGATACGATGAATTTAACAGGATGATTGAACCTTACTTCTCCAGTATTAATTGTTATCGATTATCAACGTTATGTCATATTCACCTGTATCATTCATCATCTTCGCATAATAAAGGAACTAGGATCAACATTGGCTTAGTAGATATAACTAACGTTCTTGGCCAATTGTTCCAACGAATAAAACATACATGATGCAGGGCATCCATATATATACGTCGTGAGTTGAAGAAAATATGAATCTCGATAATCAAACCCAGCTGTTAAAAAAAAGATGTCGAGATCCTCTCGTGGTTCACCCTCTTCGATTTTCTTATATCCTATGCAGGCAGGGCCTAGATGTTTCAATGTACCCAATAGGGTGTTTGTTTTAAACATGATCGACTTCAATGTAGTACGAACTTCGGCTTGATGTGACTTCTTAGTTTGGGGTTTTCAAAGAAACTAAGAGGCGTTCGTTTTTGATCGACTGTCTGCATATGTAAGAAGCCCAGTTGCGGTTGCGAAACTTCGTACGCCTTTTATGATTCTTTGTGCAATCTCACCCACATGGTAAATACAAGGATTGGATTACATAACTGAGCACAGTGACTGTTGGGTAAATCGTGAGTCGAGTATATAAAGAAAGCCAGTTGCAACCAGTTACTGAAGATTCTTGGAGAATAGGACAGTAGACAAACAGAAATATATATTTATTCAGCCATGAATGATCGAATAGCAAAATCAGTCACCTTCGCCTCATCAATACAGCAACACTGAGAATAAAGGCCCTGGATACAAAATTGTATAGCCCTTATTCAAGTGCGGAGAGAGGAAAACTGAAAAGCTGATAGCTGGAGTATAACAGAGAGCAAGGCAGATATATGGTAAGATTGAAAAGGGTGTACATGGCCATATAAAAGCCAAACTTCCGTGAAATAAAAAGCAGGAAGGGTAGTAAGTATAAACAAAAAAGGGAGGTTGGAAAGAAGGTTGGAGATTGAACCAATTAGTAGCATTGTTGAACCCCTTCCCAGACACTCAGTAATGATAACCCAAGACCATGTAGTATAACCACCCTGGGATGATACTGGACCGAGAACCCACGTACTCCAAAGAAAAGCAAACTGGCCTGGTCTCAGCGTCAACTGTCATGTAAAATCGAGATTCCTCCTCTTGGTCCTTTGTCATAACTGCCGAAGTTGCACAGTGTTGGAAGTAATGAGGACGATATATCCCTGCATATATCAAAAGGGTGTGTGTGTATAAAGGTGGGCACTGGCTCGTATATATAGTGGTGTCGTTCCGCCTTGTATATAAGGGCTGTCTCCCTAAGAAAGATGCGAGGGGTTGAACAATGCTGCAAAAAATGCTGTTGTCCGATATAATCGTAGGTTGTTGATGGACGAGTGAAGGATACCGATGGCAGGACGGTGGAACGAAGCTCGGTCTGGAAAAACACAAAATATCGAATAGGTACAGCGAAAAAGGAACAAAAGTTATCCTGACGGACGGATAGCCGCACGCCGGCGGTAACTCATACACACAGAACCTCACACCACACCGATTGTCCTGCCACTATCCAAGCCATGGCTTGAACCCCAGGGGTTTCCATGACTGGTGTGGCAGTTGGGCTGCTAGGAATATCTAGCAGGGCTGGCCGGGGATATGGCACCACTTCTTCTCAACTACAGAACGAGTCAGTACAGGGCATCAAATGGGGCGTATTAAACGACTTACCGACTGGCTCAGGGGCACGAGCCTCAAGCTGAGCTTCAGCAACTTCGGCAGCAGGAGCTGGGGCAGCAATCACAGCTACGGAAGCAGCGGCGATGGCAAGGATGTAGGCGAAGAGCTTCATGATTGCTGATTTGAAGAAGAGAGGAAGACTCTTGGAAATAAAATAAGAGATGTGGCTAAGTGCTTAAGAAGGCTTTGTTTCAAGAGATGATCTTGAAGAGACTCGATAAAGAAGCTGGGCTCTGTGTAGGAAACGTCAAGGAAAAGAATCATGCATGAAGCATGCATGGGACGCCTCCTTTATAGACGCTCCTTGAGGAAGGGCCTGGGAGAATTTTGCTGAGGGGTTTTCCAGTTGATTGAACGGGAAAAAGGCATCAATTGCTCAATAGACCGGGTGAATATCACTCAGATACTTCAGACGAGCTGAGTCTGGGAGCAACGTGGAGAATAAAAACCACGAGGAATAGAGCCAATAAGGGGGTATTGTAAACGAAGGGATGGTGTCCTAGCTTCAGTAACCACAAGCTACTGAGGGTTCTAGATACACAATTAACCTATGGAATAAGGGCTTGTATGTCCTAGTGCTCCATAAAGTCAAGCGGAGACCTTCACCTAGGATTACCTAGACCGTTGCGTTTTCAGCTAAAGTCGAAGCAAAATGGGAGTGAAATGCCGCAGGAACCAGAGGCCCATGACATGAGGTCTGAAAGAGATCCATGAAACCGCATAAAGGAAAGGAGGCAAGCCTGGCTCTGGGAATAAGTCTTCCCCAAGCGTCCCACAGTGATGCCAGAGTTCAGGACGTGGTCTCGACCGTCTTGAATAACAGCTACCTGTGTCCGTGTCCAGGTTGTGTCTCTCAACCAGAGCATCTACACGGGTCAGAGTCCGCATAGTCACCACCAAAGCAAGGGACAGCCAGCGGACGTGAAGATGAAAGGCAGTTCGAATCCGCTTTGGTACCTCAATAAGAAGATAGTCGCTTGCAAAAACAGTGTTCTTTGCTTATTGACAGACTAGCTTCCGCTTTTGGGTCTCAATAAGGATCCAGCACGCTAGTCCCGATTAGGTAATATCTTGAACTTCACGGTTGAGATCACATTATTATATTTTAAAGACGGGCAACAAGAGACTAAGAGATACCATGGGATATCATAAAGGTTAGCTAGGGTAGCAATAAACAACGCAGTTTTGACCAAAGCCTCGTAATGGTGGATTCTCTCGCCCGGTTGACGTTGGGTTGCGGGATGGTATTGTGGTCCATGGTCCATGACTTTGGCCGCTGAACGTGGTATCAACAAAGACATCCTCCAGCTTCTTTGGACCTCCTTCTTCAATGCTATAGAAGTGCTGTCTATCTTGGCCCTTGAAAGTTGTTTTGCACACAAGCATCAACCGGTCAATGGCTTAGGTTTATTCAATTCAACCTGGATCCTCATGTTTCTCTCGTCGAGGAGAGAACAAGGACACAAGGGCTGTATCTGCAAACATCTAGCAGCATGAGCTTGTTGGTCAATGCATTGTATTCGAGACATTTTATCCAAACGGGCCAGTCAAGAAGGGGCCCGGGTATGATGGCTTGAACAGCCTCTTGGGCTTGCAGTGCAAATCCCTATGAATAATGGATTGGCTGCTTACATCCGCGGGTGGTAAGCCGCGCTTTGAGAAGGCAAAGATATTTGGTTCCTCAGGGCGAGTCCATCGTAGGAGTTCCTTCGATTCCCCGACATCTTCCATCATCTCTCCTCTGACCCCCTTTCTCTACTGTCGTTCTCCTTTTTGATAAAGTTGACGTCGGGACATCGCGGGCCGGCTCCACGTGACCGGATCCGGGATAATAATGATCCCTGTCGCTTATCTAATTCTCCGGCGTTACAGGCGGAGAGAGAAGCTCCGGCAGAAAATGCGACTCTCGCGAAACAAATTTCAACCCAAGAAGAGAAAAAAACCTGAAGCTCCGGTTTTCATATCCAGACGTCTCTCTCTTGTATTCGATGTTTTAGCCATTCAGACGGGATCCTAAGCTGCCTGCCACCATGTTCTCTCTCCGGACTGCTCGCCCTGCGCAGGTATGTTCGCTGTTCCCTTGGTATTCGGCTTTTAATGCCCCGCTAACGCAGCTCTTACCATCGCACAGTCTGTCCTGCGAAGCGTTGCCGGTTCTTCGTCATGTCTCTCTCGTGCCTCTGGAGGTGCCAGATGTGAGCTTCTCCCGGTGATTCCGTGTTGTTTGAGGCATTGCTGACCACACAATGGATGTATAGACATGGCTACCGTCCAGTCGGATATCTTCAAGCCGACTAAGTATGGCGGCAAATACACGGTAACATTGATTCCTGGTATGTATCCTCCAAAACCGCAGACTACAACAATATTTGGACTTTTCCTAGCTAGCAATTGGCTTCTTGTTTACTTTTTCTTGCCGTTATTCCCTTGGTCTCTTTGTCCCGAAGCTCCGTCAAGGCTAACCGCAAGTCTACTATAATAGGTGACGGTATTGGTGTGGAAGTCGCGGAGTCCGTCAAGACCATTTTCAAGGCAGATAACGTCCCCATTGAGTGGGAACAAGTCGATGTTAGCGGTGTTGATTCTGGAAACAAGCACTCTGAAGACCTTTTCAGGGAATCTATCGCCTCCCTACGACGAAACAAGCTTGGACTAAAGGGAATTCTTCACACCCCAATTGAAAGATCCGGCCACCAGTCTTTCAACGTCGCCCTTCGACAGGAGCTCGACATCTATGCTTCCATTGTCTTGATTAAGAACATTCCCGGTTACCAGACCCGCCACAACAATGTTGACCTCTGCATCATCCGTGAGAACACCGAGGGTGAATACTCCGGCCTTGAGCACCAGCCCGTCAATGGAGTCGTCGAGTCTCTCAAGATTATCACCCGCGCCAAATCCGAGCGCATTGCCAAGTTTGCGTTCAGCTTTGCTCTTGCCAACAACCGCAAGAAGGTTACCTGTATCCACAAGGCCAACATCATGAAGCTTGCGGATGGTCTCTTCCGCAGCACTTTCAAGAAGGTTGCCGAGAACTACCCAACTTTGGAAACCAACGATATGATTGTCGACAACGCCTCTATGCAGGCTGTCTCTAGACCGCAGCAATTCGATGTCATGGTCATGCCCAACTTGTATGGTGGTATCCTGTCCAACGTTGCCGCTGCTTTGGTCGGTGGCCCCGGAATCGTTCCTGGATGCAACATGGGACGAGATGTCGCCGTCTTTGAGCCCGGTTGCCGTCACGTTGGTCTTGATATCCAGGGTAAGGACCAGGCTAACCCAACGGCCTTGATCCTCTCTGGTTCCATGCTCCTCCGCCACCTTGGCCTGGACGACCACGCCAACCGCATTTCCAAGGCTGTCTACGATGTCATTGGTGAAGGGTAAGCCGTTTTTACTACTGATAACTCCAAAATAAATCATATATCGCTAACTTTACTCTTATAGTGCTGTTCGAACTCGTGACATGGGAGGTCAGGCTACTACCCATGAGTTCACTCGAGCCGTCCTCGATAAGATGGAAGCCCAGCTCTAAACACCATTCGCTACCACATTAAGTCGCCGGTCGTCAATATAATAAGACAAAATTCCGCAATGCATTAAAGTAAATAAGCGCCGCATTCCTGATAGCGAACGCCGTTAATCACCTGCTCCAAACCACTCCCTCCCCCCATACCTCCTCAAACCTCACATATCTGTTTATTTATCTGTTACCTTTTTTTTGAAGTACGGGATTTTTCTTTTTCTTTGCCGTTTAAACGACCCGCTCAAAGCATGACTGTAGATTAAGACTTTTCCTGTATTGTTTGTTTACCCATAGCGATAATACAAAAAAAAGGATATATAACTTCTAGTAATGCTCTTTGAAGTGCGCAGTTTTATGAGAATAAATCTAGTTGGTTTAAATGTCAAAGCGGATTGTATGTACTCGTTTCATCCGTGTTCAAAACTGGGTCATTAATGGCTATAGATAGGCATGGGTCCGGTATCCTTTGCCCAAGTATCTTAGATAATAGCACTCTTCATGAAGTGCATCTCATAAATCCTCGATTGTAGATAAGACGAAGGAAGATAGAGTTTGTTAAGGCGCAATATTCTGCGGCATGATGAGGTGGTGTCAGCCTTGGGCGGGGCCGGAGTTGCGATGGCTTTGTGCTTCTAGGCTCTGGCGAGACTCCGGTTGAAATAGGGGAGATCTCTTGGGCATGAAGCGCTAAGCTGGCGCATTAACAGCCGGAAACAGGCCTCCCGCTAGTTCATAGCCAACGAGCTCTGCATCGGGTTGCTTTGTGATGTTCAAGCTGGAAGGTATTAAGAGGACTGAAAGCATAAGGGCCCAATCAAAACGCAATTCGTCTCTTTCGTCCGGTATATTTCGAAGTTGCCTTGACAACCTTGCCCTTTTTCTCCATCTGTTCTTTTTTCCTCAATATCCAAGCTTTGGTTCCCTTGATATGTGATTGATCTGGGCCTCGACGACCCTTGGCGGCCTCCCTGGCTTTCCTTCTGGCATCCAGGATATCAACGTCATCCATTCCCTTGACAACACCAGTGATATCACCTTGTAGTCCACCTCCACCAACGGTAAGTACTAGATATGTCTTCCCATTCTTGGTGCCCGGGTCATCTTCAAGTATACCGGCGCCAAACCCGGCTTTGATAGCGGCGCCGCTAATCATGCCTCTCTGAGAATCATTTTTGGGATAGAACTGGCATACCGCCCTACCACCGCGTTTTAGAGAAGCGTATAGCCCTTCGAAAAATCTTTTGAGTCTACCTTCGGGGCTTACATCGCTTGTCTCGGCGTTGCAAAGCCATTGAATCGCACTGATACTTATGGCTGCGTCAAAGGTTCCAGGCCTGAAGGGGACGCCCTGTCCAATGTCGGCTAGAAAGAGGTCACCTTCCACATCCCGTTGAAGCGCTACGTCGAGCATGCTAGGAGATATATCCATGCCAATCCAAGTATGCGGGCCACCTTCAGATGGGTCAATGGAAGATAGTATCTCGCCGGACAGGCCTGAGCCGCAACCAACATCTAAAATTAGTGAGGGAGACGTGAGTTTCAGTAGCTCCAGGGCTCGATGCGTCATCTCAGACTGGATATTT